GAGTGATTGGGAGGTGATGAAGGCCAAAGCCTTTTGTTGAGTGCTCAGTCAGCTGGAATAAAGTAGTAAGTCAGTTTCTTGATAGCAGAAGGGCACCGGGACAAATCACCTTGACAGAAAAGAGAGAAAAGGGCACGGTAGAAGGTGAAAGATGAGCGGATGAGAATTGTAATAGATGTTCTTCTCTATTTAGTTCAGGTTCATGCTTCTTTCAGCTGCCTGACATCTACAGAGATGGACGGTGGTCTGTTGGGGTCAAACCCAGCTGTCAGCTGTGGTTGTAACCTCTGTGACTGTGTGAATTGAAGGTATTTTTCTTTTCCAATTATCCTACTTTCTCCTCCGTGGTGATCTGTGCTCAGGGTTAGGTACACGAGGAGCTGCTGATGGGGAGCGCGTCACGGACCTGATGAAAAGGAACCCAAACTTCTGGGTGGTTTTTCTGTACATAATCATTTCTCATTGGATGCATTTGAACTGCTACTTTATTGCCCCAACGCTCCCAACCCCTTTTATTTTATATGTATTATTATTAATGACTGTTTACGGCAAAGTGTGAAAAAGAGATTTCTTGTAGCTGCATGATGCTATTGTGCTTCTAAATCACAATAAAGACCGAATGCACAGATTAGTTGGCAGTGAAAGCAGCAACACAAAGGAATTTACTCTTAGTTATGTTAAACATTAGTGTGTGTGTGTGTGTGTGTGTGTGTGTGTGTGTGTGTGTGTGTGTGTGTGTGTGTGTGTGTGTGTGTGTGTGTGTGTGTGTGTGTGTGTGTGTGTGATTAATAAATCCATCAATTTGATCTTTTATTAGGCCCGAGCAGCGAAAGCGCTGCGAAGGCCTCTTGTTTTTGCTCCGTTTATTATTATTTTTTTTATTTATTATTCCGGTGCCGCTTTGAATGGCTTTTTGGGGATCTTAACATACCCCAAAACTCACAATATTTTGCACACTTGTCAGGCCTGGTGAAAAATTTGATATTTTAAAGGTCCCAAAAAAATCGCAAAGAAAATGGCTGAACAGCGCCCCCTAGAAAATGAAAAAAAAACCCTCTCCATAAAGCTTAGTTTATCGTACCGTTATGAAATTTGGTACACTTATAGTACTCAATAGTCCGCACAGAAAAGTCTCTTGCAAGCATGGTCAATATCAAACAGGAAGTCGGCCATTTTGGGTTGAAATGGCGATTTTTTGCAGTTTTGGCCGTTTTTAGGGTCCGTTTCTGATTGGATTGCTCGATCATTTTTTGCACGATCATCTCAAAAATTGTGTAAAATTGCTCAGAAGAGATGGGCGAACAAAATGAGACAATAAAATTGACTTTTCGTAAATACTGAAGGGGCGGGGCCAGGCCTCGAAGTTTGACTACTCGCCAAAATTTTTTAAATTGCTATAACTTCATAACTGAATGGAATAGAGTTACCAAACTTTCTGTGGTCATTCGTCATCACCTCACAAAGTAAATTGAATGGTCGCATGATGACATCACACAAGCCCCGCCCCCTCAGGACCAAAAAGGTTAAGTTTTACCTTGAAAGGTCCCAAATTGCCCCATTTCACTAAATCACCACAAATTTGTAGCTGGTAACTCAAGACAAGTGGGGGTTGCTTGGCGTCACATTATGTGAGTTTTCGGCAGAGGGCGGGGCTGTGGCGGCGCGGCGAAGTCAGGCGTACCGCCGTGGCCTTACGTTTGCCTCCCATTTCGTCATTTCTAAAGATATCATCACGAAACTTCTTGTGAGTGATCCTAGTCTGGCCCCCCAAAAGATCTGATGTGAACATCCGGTGGGCGTGGCCTATTTTCTGAAATAGCGCCCCCTAGGACCATTAAAACTGTCAGCCCCAAGCCATGCTTTGACTGAGGATTACGAAATTTGGTACACTAATGTGGTGTCTCAGGACCTACACAAAAGTCTCTTGGACCCAAGTGCAAAGTCGCACAGGAAGTCGGCCATTTTGGTCCAAGTACGCGATTTACTGGTTTTCGCACACCTTGTTTGGAGAGTGATGCTCCGTCGCCCTTTTCACCAATCTCCTTGAAACGTCTGCTATATACTCTTAAGACAAAGAGGAAAAAATTCAACCGTCGGATTTTTCAAAAGTTTAACGGTGTGGGCGTGGCTAAGCCTCAAACTTTGACCTGTCGCCACGCCACTCATTTTTTCACAGCTCCCTACTGGACTCCTTTTACCCAATCAGCAGGAATCTCTGGCAAACAGCAGTAGACAACTTGAGGTCACTTGGTATCCAGTACTGGCAGGTTTCAAAAAAAGGCGGGGCTTCAGGAGCATGGCGAAAATCGCCATCACGCCATGGAAGTATGTTTGCCTCTCATTTCTTCAGTTATCGTGATATCGCTACGAAACTTCTGGTGCGTGATCCTAGTCTGACCCCCAAGCGGCATAGACATCTGAAATTTGTGGGCGTGGCCTATTTTCTTAAATAGCGCCCCCTAGGACCATTTAAACTAATAGCCCCAAGCTATGCTTTGACTGAGGATTACGAAATTTGGTACACTAATGTGGTGTCTCAGGACCTACAAAAAAGTCTCTTGGAGCCAAGCGCAAAGTCGCACAGGAAGTCGGCCATTTTGGTCCAAGTACGCAATTTAGTGGTTTTCGCACACGTTGTTTGGAGAGTGATGCTCCGTTGCTCTTTTCACCAATCACTTTCACACTTCTGCTATATACTCTTAAGACGAAGGGGAAAAAATTCAACCGTCGGATTTTTCAAAAGTTGAAAGGTGTGGGCGTGGCTAAGCCTCAAACTTTGACCTTTCGCCACGCCACTCTTTTTTTCACATCTCCCTATTGGACTCCTTTTACCCAATCAATAGGAATCTCTGGCAAATAGCAGTAGACAAGTTGAGGTCACTTGGTATCCAGTACAGTTAGGTTTCGAAAAAAGGCGGGGCTTTGGGAGCATGGCGAAAATCGCCATCACGCCAAGGAAATACGTTTGCCTCTCATTTCTTCAGTTTTCGTGATATCGCTACGAAACTTCTGGTGAGTGATCCTAGTCTGAGCCCCAAGAAAAATAGACAGCTGAAGTTTGTGGGCGTGGCCTATTTTCTTAAATAGCACCCCCTAGAGCCATTAAAACTGTCAGCCCCAAGCCATGCTTTGACTGAGGATTACGAAATTTGGTACACTAATGTGGTGTCTCAGGACCTACAAAAAAGTCTCTTGGAGCCAAGAACAAAGTCGCACAGGAAGTCGGCCATTTTGGTCCAAGTACTCGAATTAGTGGTTTTCGCACACGTTGTTTGGAGAGTGATGCTCCGTCGCCCTTTTCACCAATCGCCTTCAAACTTCTGCCATGTACTCTTAAGACGTAGGGGAAAAAATTCAACTGTCGGATTTTTCAAAAGTTGAAAGGTGTGGGCGTGGCTAAGCCTCAAACTTTGACCTTTCGCCACGCCACTCTTTTTTTCCACAGCTTCCTATTGGACTCCTTTTACCCAATCACCCATAATCTCTGGCAAATAGCAGTAGACAACTTGAGGTCACTTGGTATCCAGTACTGGCAGGTTTCGAGTAAAGGCGGGGCTTTGGCAGCATGGCGAAAATCGCCATCACGCCATGGAAATACGTTTGCCTCTCATTTCTTCAGTTATTGTGATAGCGCTACGAAACTTCTTGTAAGTGATCCTAGCCTGAGCCCCAAGAGATATCCATAGCTGAAGTTTGTGGGCGTGGCCTATTGTCTTAAATAGCGCCTCTAGGACCATTTAAACTATCAGCCCCAAGCCATGCTTTGACTGAGGATTACGAAATTTGGTACACTAATGTGGTGTCTCAGGACCTACAAAAAAGTCTCTTGGAGCCAAGCACAACATTGCACAGGAAGTCGGCCATTTTGGTCCAAGTACGCGATTTAGTGGTTTTCGCACACGTTGTTTGGAGAGTGATGCTCCGTCGCCCTTTTCACCAATCGCCTTCAAACTTCTGCTATATACTCTTAAGACATAGGGGAAAAAATTCAACCGTCGGATTTTTCAAAAGTTGAAAGATGTGGGCGTGGCTAAGCCTCAAACTTTGACCTTTCGCCATTACTTTACTTGACTTAATAACTCCCATGTGCATGATCAGATTTTTTTCGAACTTTGTCTGTGTGATCATTGACCATATCTGTAAACAATGACAATGTGGACAGCTGACATCACCTAAGCCCCGCCCCCTGACTACAGGAAGCCTATTGTTTTATGGTGAACTGCCCATATTTGTCCCCTCTAATTTAGTCAACATGAAACAAAGGTCATGCACTGTCTTCATGATGCTGTATTGACCATTCAGATCTGATAGCTTTCCAGAAAGGGAGGGGCTTTGATGCCATGGCGAATTCTGGCGTAACGCCGTAATCTTAATATTCAATTTAATGGTGAGCTCAGAGGGGATGCTGAGTCAGGGTGAGGTGCGGACTAGGAGGCCATTCGCGGTTTCTGGTGTCGGGGTGGTTGACGTTTCTGTTCTGTCAGACGTGCACTGGTGCCCCGGGCTGCCGTCCAGACCGGAGCGGCGCGGAGCTGCGAGGGCCGAACGACGCTGCTTGCAGCTTTAATGTTTACATTATTATCATGTTTCTGTCTTTGATAAAATGTTAGCTAACCAAAAAAAAGAGTTTTAAAAAATAAGTCGATTCCTCCAACTTACTGAAAAACCTCGTTTTAGCGAGATGTTGAGACGATCAGTTGTGATGTTTTGCTTTTTGATCTTTACTTTGCTCCTTGGTGTTGATTGAAGAAGCTGCTTTAGAACCACAGCTGTAGACTAGTCCGTTGTCAGCATCTGTATCGATGGTGTAGATGTGCTTCGGCTGGCTTCTGGATCAGATTTTCAAACCAGAGGCATTTTCCAGCTTTAGTTGTCAGAATGTTTGGATCTGGTCTGGTTCAGCATAGATTAGGGTTGTTTTAAGCGTGTTGGAACGGATGCTAAACGGAACCAAACTGAACTGAGATTAATTTGACCGACCGCTCTTTTCTCTCTTCCAGGTGGCCTCCCTTACGAGTTTAAGGTGGCAATCGCTGGAAACCATGAGCTCACCTTTGATAAGGACTTTATGGCGGAGCTGGTCAAGCAGGATTACTACAGATTCCCTTCAGTCTCCAAACTCAAACCTGAGGATTTTGACAATGTCCAGTCCCTCCTCACAAACTGTGTGTACCTGCAGGACTCAGACGTCACCATAAAGGGATTCCGGATATACGGAACGCCATGGTAAGGAACTTTTCACTTGTTTCTGTCTTGTCTCCATCTGCTTCCATCTCGTCACGTCTTTCTGAATCGCTGAGTCATGTTTAATCTCGCTGTGCTGTGGATCCCTGAGATAAAGGTGTGTCTTCTCGGCTGTCAGATCCTGGCTGTTTTCCAGCTGCTGTGTGCTCTCAGCGAGAGGCCTCTCATACGTGCAGGGTGTAATTCCCAACCTGCACATTCCTTTATGAGCTCAGGACCTTCACCTGCTCCCAGGGCTCGCATTACACCTGTGTTTTGACATGGGGTTAAGTGATACGCGTGGTACCAGGACTCCTTTTCAGCAGCCTCTCAGGTGTGGAAGGACTGCTGGGAGGAGAAGCGCTGTTGTTGATGGCTGCTGGGAGATGGGATGAGAGAACTGTCCAGAGATGCTATGATGATGATGTTCTGCTGTCTTCATAGATGTACAGGTCATCATAGGCTACCACGGGTAAAATGATAGTCACCATCTTTACTAAATAGATTTTAGTCCTACTACAAAAAACTCTTGTTGTTTCCAGATTGACTAACCATATCTTCCAGTTTTTGCTCATCTTCAGTCGGTTTTATTCCTTTAGAGCAGAACTCAAGACTTACGCAGCTGGAAATGTTCATTAAAGTTACCCAACATTGTATATTGTAGATGTCCTTTCCTTCTACCAGTGAAGCCTAAATCAGGATTTTTAATTAACTGCTTTTGTACCATGAGCATGTTTTTTCATGATTATTTATAATTATTGTCTCTGGAGTTGGTCTGTCATGGATCATACAGATGAGCGTATCTGTGTTGGTCAAATCCATACAGCTTGACGGTCCCTCTGGTTCTGAAGTGAAGTCTGTCGGTTTATCTGAACGGTTCCTGCAGCGCGACCTCGGCTCACCTTCCCTGCTTCTTTGTATTTAGTTGTGTGACAGTTGAAGCTGAAGCTTCCTCTGTCCTGCTGTGACTTCTCTCTTCTCCTCGAGCCTAAAATAACTTTCTAAGTCACACCTTCATCCTTTAGCGGCTATAATTAGCAGGTTCACAGCCTGGCTTCACAGGTGGCAGCGGGGAGGTGACCGGGCAGGTCCCAGCATTCCTCAGACGTCCGAGCAGCAGGAAGAAGAACTCACGGTCCTTTTCCTTTTTGCTATCTTTCTGATTTAAAGAGGAAGGATGCTGCCTCCCTTTTGTCCCTTGTGGGTGTTTAGTGTGAGGGCTGGTAAGTGTCTGTTGTGACAGCTGGGGGTCTCATGAGAAGCAGAGTGGACAGCTTGGCTGCTTCCCCACCCTCCTCAGCTTCCTCGCCTTCTCACCCATATGCCACCGTGGCCTGAGCTCTGGCCTGCTTGTCCAGTGTGAGGTCTCACTTAGCCCCTCAGTGACCCCTCACCTCATCAGCAGCGTGCCGCCTGTGTGGCCAAGCGTCTCCGAGTCGTCCTCGGTCTGCTGACGCAGGCAAGGATGCTGCAGCGCCACTCAGGAAACGTAGCAGAGTGAAACAATCACACGATTAATGTTGCAGTCGTCTGCTGACTTATCGGTTTTAGGCCCACTGCTCATGTTTCGGTGGAGCAAAATAAACGTTTGCTTCTTGACCATAACGTTTGTCCAGTTTTAAGCATGTATAGGACAGTTTTGACTTCATTTTGTTTGTGTTTTGATGATTTAAAAGAAAATATTTGAGCAAAAGCATTTGAGCGTAAATACTGACGATGGTGTCGTTTTGTACGTTCTTCTGTAGCAAGTCCCGCGCCTCTGCCACCTCTGGTTTCATCCCCCCATCCTTCCCCTTTCACATTTAATTATCAAAGGTTAGTTTTAGATGACTTAAAGAGGAAAAACGTTCAGCCTGAGATTAAAGTGAATAGTTTTAGTAGACATTGTTGAACATCAAAGATCATTCCTCTGATGTAGAAGGTCATGTTTTTTAGGCTCGGCTCTGTTGAAATAATTTCTGTTATGAAGCCAACTCTTTCATTTGGACAAGGCCAGTCTCCTTTTCTAAAAGTTTATTGGTACAAAAATCTGCAGATATTAAAATAGTTCCCAAAATGTGTTTCGGTTAATTAATCTCATCAGTGTTGAGGAGAAAAATATCCTCCATCTTTGAAGTGTCCACACACCCGTCTTCAGTTGGGGGTTTATTATGTAGAAAAATAAATTCACGAATTATTTATTATAAAACTATTTGAAGATTGTGGTATGAATGTTTTTTTAATCCTGTTGCTTTTTAAACTAAGTTGTTTGTCAGACTTGCAAATTCCACTCAAGTACCTTTTATACAGAAAAACCTCTAAAAATAAAAAATATATTAAAAAACAAGTAATATGTAAAGAAGCATGCAGGGTATTTTCATGGTGTTGGTGCTGCGTAATGTTGTGTAAAAACAGTTCAAGTTTAAACTAGTAAATTCTATGATTATACAAGCATTTTGTATCAGCGGATAATTTTAAATTCACTTGCTTTCAGCCTTAAATCCAGATTAAAGTGTCCAGACCTTCTAAGACCATTAATATTTGAAGACCTTATTGGCTCAGTTTTTGTCTAAAATGGAGCACTGACCTGGTTCCCTCCTGTTTGCCAGAGAGGGAGCTGATGGAGTGAAAGCAGCACACCGTGAAAGACACACAACTTACCCTGTTTAATGACAGATGCTCACCAGGCCGAATGCCTGACCCTCCTCCCCTCCTGCTCACACACTCCCACACACTCGTGCCGTGGAAGGATGAACAGGCATCTGCACCTTGTCTGTCAAATCTCTTTTGAAGGAACATAAGGCTTCTTGGAACCAAATAGTTTGTTTTTATTTTCTTCTCTTGTTGAGGAAATCTCCTGAGGCTGTGTTTTAACCCATTTGATGCACATATCAATATATTTTTTACTTGACATCTTTAATGTAATGATGACACCGATGTCCTTCTCTCCAGCCGCTTGGGCCTGCTCCTCCGGGAGAATGCTAAAGCCAGGCAGCCACTGTGTGACTTTTTCACTCGTAGCGTTCAGCTTCACCTCAAACTGTACCACTTCCTCGCAGAGCAAACCTCACGAGTCATGTGCTCACACGTCTTCTGGTAGCAACACGTCGAACCTAAAAATATGCTAAAAATAGCAGTTTTTACACAACAGGTTGGACTTTTTATTGTGTTGTTATTGATGTCTGTTGTCCTTTGGGAGAGCTGTTGGAGGACACACAGGGATTTATGGGGGTTGGAGGAGAAAGACTAAAGAAAGTGAATCAATCATTCAATCAATCAACTGATCAGTTTAATTGGACATAAACGTGGAAAACACACTTTCTTGACAATCCTTGTTATTGTATGCGAACAAAGTGTATAAATAAAATTGAACAGTACAAAAAATAAGCATATGTGTTTTCAAAGTTCATATTGATCAATATTAATAATAATTGGTAATTTTTTTTAAAGAAACTGTAGAAAATATATTTTAAATGCAACCCTGGCTAGTTATGGTATTCCTAATTAACTACTTCCAATAAAGAGCAAACAAAAACTGACTCAAATTCCATATTCTATTTAAACACGTTTATTTTACTTAGCCTGACTAGCCTGGTAGGCTAGGCTTTATTTTACTAGGACTGAACAATTTCAGGAATAGTTTGAACTGAGTTTGTTTTTCTATCAGAAATTAAGATTTCAGTTCAGTTCTTAGTTTTCTTCAAATCAATGTTCAACTATATCACATTATTCACAATTTTTAGTGATATTTACAAACATGACAGGAAATGGCTTCGGTTAGTCTAGACTAAGTTCATTTATGCAATGTATGAAGAGCAGCAGCCTTTATTAATACCTGGGAGGCACAGTTGACAATTGTAGTGTCAGTCAACATCATATCATCAAGTTCATCATGCTACATTTTTATGGCAGCTCTAGTTTTCTTAACAAACATCCAAATTATTTTACAACACAGACTTCACAAATTGTCTCAGATACAAAGAATGGGTTTGCTAAAACATCTAGTTTCTAGGGCTGGGGGTAAACGATTATTTTTAAAACGATTATTCTGACGATTATTTTATCGAATAGTCGACTATTCTAATGACTATTTAGAAAATTAATCTAATGATTATTTTTCTATTGCACAATTAACAAAAACCAGAAAATCTCAAATAAATTCCTCAAAAAAATTGATAAATTGTTACTGTAAGAGAATAAACACTACAGGCCTTCCATTTTGTATAACACTGCTTTTATTGTGTTGGTTGGTTATGTTCTGGTGACGTGTAGAACTTGGGAGTGCAGGCTGCTGCCTGAGAGGTGGTAGAAGATGGAGTGTCTCCATGCTGCTTTGTTTTGGTCACTTATGTGCGTGAGGCGAGTGGTCTTACGGGTTAAACCAAACTCAGGTGATATTTTACACTAAACCGAAAACCCACAACACTCTAAATGTAATAAAAGGGCGATCTGCACCACAAAAAAGATGAACTCTAAACCAAAACGTAACAGCTTATCCCAACGCAAGAAGCTGTTAGCGAAGATGCTAACAGTAGCTTTACCAACGTTAAGTTCAAGTTACCAAGTTTAAATAAACCAAAAACACCCAGCAGCAAACAGACCAGCACGGAGGAGAGACTGCTACCACCAAAACAGCTCTCCTCATGTCTGAAAGAAGCTCCTTAATGAAGGGAGAAGCGCTCCCGGTGATTTTCTACATCTGCGATAGACACGGAGCAGCGCATCTGACCCCGGAAGTTGTTGTCCGTTGCCGGGAGACGAAGGGGCAAAACAGGAAAATAATCTAGTAGTGGACGGACGTTGTTCCGGGTCTTCGGTATTTGGCGGAGATGTTAGTGAAGGCGGAGAAGAGGGCGAACTAGAGGAAAAACAGGCAGATTCCTCTTCTATTTACAAACTCCTGGGGATGCAACAAGTGGGCGCAGTGCGTCGACTTCCGGATCTGACGTCGACAAATTTTTAGAATCGAGCCGTCGACTTCGTCGAGGCTTCGCTACAGCCCTACTAGTTTCCATTCCAAAATT